AAAGAGGAATATGATTAACACCGAGTAGTGCAAAGGTACCGGGAAGAGAGCTGGGCGAGGGAGCCGGGAGAAACCCTGCTGAAGGCAGGAGGATGAGGCTGCAAACACAGACACACCACCCCATCGTATGTCCCCTTTTTTGTACGTCACACACCAGCCCTGTCCCCTCACTCGCATTGCTGCGTATTCTGATGCTAACGGCACTTCAGTGCGAGGAAACGAGACTATTATTTCTTTAAACAACATACATTAAAGTGCTTAAACTGACACCATTCCCAGCGTTCCTGGAAACATCTTTGCTCCACAGTTTTGCTGTGCAATGCAAAGCGTATTCAGCAGCAGCCAGGCACGATATGCTGTGGAGACCACAAAGAATAGTTTATTAAATAGAAATAATTCAGAAGAAAACCCCACCCACGGGTAGCTAAGGTAGTTAAAACAGAAGAAAAAAGAAATTTCCTGGCACACTGAACTATCTATGTGATCACGTGAAATTAAATGTTGTCTTCCAGTAGCTCTGACCACCTAACGTAATCCGGCTCTTGACAGACATGGGGGGATGCACACTTCTGAATGGCCACAGATTCAGGAACGACAACCAAATCTGTCCTGGGGACAGTGACTGTAAAAGCTACAGGTCTTGGAGCTTCTGCATTGCCAAGGTTTAAAAACCACGCAGGTACCTCATCAAGAAGGTCATTTTCCCTGCTTCTGCTCTGACCAAACACCACATGTGCTTCATGCAACAAACTGCTTCATCTATGCCTGGAAGAGACACCTGCCAAGCCAGGGCTCAGCACAGCCACCTCTCCATGGGAGCAACAAAAATTAAGTTTGATCCTTTCTGCTGCAGATGAACTTACACGTGCCAGCTAATTGCTCAGGGCCACACCAACCGCATCCAAAGTGAACCGATTTCCATCACTGTCACTAAAGATAACTACACCCTACAGCACAATGGAAATGTTGTTTTTGGGAAGTTGTGTATTTCCAAATCTGACATTTACATACAACACAGTGCGCGAAGCTTCGGCATTCATGCTGCAGTGCGAGTCGCCTTCGCACACGAGCTTGGTGGGATACGCACCAGCGTACACAGGGAAAAGGCTGGTCAGAAAGCATGTGCTTCAGCCTCTGTGATCCTTCCTCTAGCGTGCACAGAGATCACCGAGCCGTTCTTCCAAAGCACCCGAGTCCAGGCTGTTCCATACCTGGAAGAGGGGGCAGGTCGTCTGTATTAACGCTTAGCAGCTTTGGCCACACTTTGCAACGAATCTCATCCGTCAAGAGCCCCCCCTCGCTGATCGCCATCCGCCTGAGCGCAGCCACGTCGATGGGGTCACTGTTCAGAGCCTGATAAATTTCTGCCACTTTTCTTTTCTTCTTAGAATCAAAGTCTGTAAGAAGACCACAAAGAGGCAAGCTGATAGGCAACGCCAACACACGGGGGAGCAGCAACTCAGATCAGGGGCGCAAAAAAATCCACTCACAGCGATGTCACACAACATACACACGTTACACACACAACAAGGGAGATGACACAGGACAGTCGGCACACGACCCACTAACTGACTGTCCCCATCTCAACAGGCTCAGCGTCGGGGGCACCCCACGGCTCGCAGGGCACCCCCCACTGGTCCCACCCTGGGAGGCAACCGTTGCTCCTCCCAACACGGGAGCTGCCACCGCTGCTCGCGCAGATCCCTCGCCCTCGGCTCCCATACTCCCCAACAGATCACGGCTCCATTCAGGACCGCAACAGCCCTGCAAAGCCATCCTGCAGCTGTTTGCTCTCTGACGTAGCCGCCAGCTCAGGTGTCAAGTGTTTCCTAAGACCTAAGACTTCCGTGTTCCTACCAACTCCCAGCTAGACAGTGGCTCCTGGATGCAGCTGTCCTAGGGAGAAGTCTGGGCATTTCCATTGACAGCATCAGTCACAAGAAACGACATAATTATACCAGAGTTAACGAATCACAAGCATATTGACTTCTCTCTCAAAAAACACAAATGTGCCAGCTATTAGTGTACATGCAGGTTAGCCAGTATTAAACAAATACGTCTGTTTTGTGGAGCACATGAGGGCAGGCAGGGAAGGGAATAACACACAAAGCACATGGTGCTCTGGTTTCAGATGGGTTAAACGCACTTACAGGACACGGGAGCACTTCCCAGGGAGCTGAGAAAGGACGCTATTTCACACTGCATCGTGGTATTTGTCACTGCTGCCTCACGTGAGGAAGGAGAGAGGGCGACCCGATACCCCACACCGGAGGAGTTTCCACTAAGGAGGCTTTGCTGAGCAGCCACAGTGCTGGAGCGCAGGATGAGGCCGCAAACACTGCCTTTACTTAAAAGCTTTTTCCGACAGATCCAACTAACACTGCTCTTGGGATCCAAACGGGATTCGTTCGATAAGGGACGTGTCTAAATAGGATTTGGGGTGGGAGGAACTAAAAGGATCCCGATGGAGAAACAGCTGTTTCTCCACGCCCCACCCTCCCGCCAGCGACTTGGGGAATGCGTTCCTCTGCCCACGTGGCACCTCCGGCGTCTCGGCGCTGCCCCGGCCCTCTCCCTGCTCCCGGGGAGCCGCGTGGGAGCGCCTGGGTGGAAGCGCTGCTTTCTACGGCATCTGAATGGGAGACGGCGGGACGGCAGACTGTTCACACACATGGACACTAAGTAGGTCAAGTGGTGGATGCTGTCCCTTCTCAAAGTACCCTTTTTAAACACTTTTTGGATGAAAACAAGCTGTAACAGCCTACGACAGATCTCCAACTCCCCTCTAAACACCAAGTTCCTGGTAATGTTAAAGCTTCTAACGCTTACCCAGTGACCGCAATTTCCTTTTATTTCCTTTCCTGCCCCTCGTGCCAGCACAGTTGTTTGCACACGAGCAGAAACCAGCTCTGCTCAGCTGGCCGTTCCCCATCCCCTGCGACACGCAGGCACTGGGCTGTCACATACCAAAGCCTCGGGAAGGAGGAGACAAAGCCTACAAAGAGGAAACTCCTGTTCACACACAAAGAACTTAAGGAGTAGTATGAAGGAAGGAGCACGTATCGCAGGATCCTCTTCTGGGATTGACTGGCAAATACCCCAATATTTACACTGTTCAAACGTACAGTGGGCAATAGCTGCAAGTATTACAAAAAACCTGTATTTCAAAATCTTTTCTGTGCACCCAAAACCTCAACTCGCAGCGTCAGTTACACCTTGCAGGACAGACAGGAACACAGCCTCAGAGCGCGGGGGCTTACCGCACCCTCACTCAAACCGCACCGTCAGGGAAGGTCCACCTGACCGGCTGCGAGTAGATTTTTATTTACCTGCAGGGCTAAAAACAGCGCCCGGAACTGTTCTC